ACAGAAACACGAGAGAACAGAAATACACGATTGGCGATTAGTAATTGACAAATTGCAGATCAACATCATAGATCAAGAAAACAGGAGAAAAAACTATAAGCTGGATTATTGTAAGTTCTATGTGCAATATAATTAATGCAAAGATTCATATTCTATGAATTGATAGAATTACATGCTTAGAATTTATTCAATTCTGCCTAATAATTAATGAATTTTCCCGTTAAATTTCTTAATTACTCGACCAATTTGAACACATTTAGCTGAAAACAATTTGTCATTAATGGAACTTCCGTCAGATTGAAATATAACTTTTATTTAATTGGTATATACGTTCTGCAACTTAAATCAAAAAGATTGTTCATGTGCATTTTTTTTATCCTCTCTTCCAGATACTTTAAATTGTTGCAGAAGGGAGACTATTTCGACTTTGATGATAAAAGTGATACTTTTTTTAAAAAAAAATTTGCAACTATTTGTTATTAATAATTATTAATCTTATTTACAATTTTTTCATAGTACAGCCGTGCATGTTGCGAATGCTATGGATGAATTTGCAACAGGATTAACGGATAATCGACATCCCGTTTACATCAATTTACTTATTATTGCATCACACATACCATCAGGCTTTCATCCAATCTTGGAAACAAATTAAAAGTGCAGGTGCTATCTATCTCGAAACAGAAGTACATACTAACAACTACTAAAACTGATTGCGCTTTTGCAAAAACACAATAAGCAACCAAAAGCATCGATCGATCGATCTACGGCTTTCCCTTGCGGTTAATGGCATCGGCACCAGTTGTGGTGGGAGCATCGGTGGAGGCAGCGGCGCCGTGGCCGGGCTTGGTCTCGAGGTGGCCGTGTGTGCCATATCCTTGTTTCTTGTAATCCTCCAAGTCCTTGTACTGTGTGTACGGACTTGTTTCCGTTGGCAGCCCTTTTGAATTTACCCCTTCTCCCGTCTCTTTGTTTTTCTCCTTCTCCATTTTTGTATGTTCTT